CGGTGCAAACAGTAGCATGCGAAATTACAGCGATAATAATAGTTCGCTGTATCCAAAGCACGTGTACAATACAGATCCCGATCGCGACAATATAACCCGGAACCTTAAAACTAACCTTAAACACTAACTTAACACTAATAACAGAAAAAGGGATAGAATTAAGAAGACAGAAAAAATGGTAGATAAGATAGAAACAAAGATATCTGGGGTTTTGTCCCTTTTTTCGGCTTGTTTCTTTATGCGTACAATTGGGTGGGATAACACACGTCCTTCTCCTATAACTGGCCACTTCTCTTCTACAATAATTAGGATTTTTTTTTTCCACAGTTATCAATACGACCTTAAAACATGATCTTTTTTCTGAACTTATTTCTGAACTATCCGGTCATTGAAAATACAACTCCCAATATTCTCACCTTGTCCGTACACTCTGCCGTCCGGTTTATGAATGACCTGCTACATCACTTCTTTTTTTTCTCCGGCTCCTGCTTACACTTTTGCTCCTCAAATTTCTAGGAACTGCTCATCCCACCCAAGGGACAGGGAATAGATAAGAAAGTTCTAGAAGAAAATAGAATAGAACAAAAGGTAGAAAGAAGAAACAAAACTAAACTAAAATTAATATTTACAAAAATATAGTGTACCGCCACAATAATTTAGTGCAGTGTTTTCCAACCTTTTTTGTGCTATGCCCCACCTAAGCCTTTCTAAAATTCTTATGTCTCCCTAACATATACAGCAGCTATACAGTTAACTTAAACTCTGGACAAGCTCATTTTCGAATTGCCCTCCTTAGCAATCCAAATGTCCCGTGGGGTGTGAGCCCCACGTTGGGAAACACTGGTTTGTGGCTAGTGTGACACGAGATAGCGTAGATTACGTTTGTGTTTTTGGAGAGTGTTGAGTTAAATTAAAATAAAAACAATGTCGACAAAAAAGTTTAGTAGTGTAATATGGAAATATTTTACGATAGTAAACAACGAATATGCTATTGCTACCTATCTTTAAAATTTCATACAAGTAATGAAATTCATTAAGATAAAAGATCCGTTAAAGATCCGCTAAAAAGTAACGGATACAGATATGGATCTCTTTTTTTCCTCAGATATCCGTGGATACGGATATGGATACGGATATCCGCACATCACTACTAACAAGTAAGCTTTGCAATCTAAAGGTGGCTTTCCAGCAGAACACTACAGCCATTAAAGCAACCTACTTTTGGTTAACTTTGATCCAGTGTATCTCTTAAACTAATACAAATTGACTTCCTGTTCAGAACATGAAAAATTGCTTATACCATATTTATTCACGTATAAGATGATCTCATATATAGGACAAGATGTGACTTAAAGATCAAAATAAAGAAAATTAGATTTAATAATACAATCCTAATTTTATTTTGTTTAATCACAAATAAAATAATATCAAATGCATGTATTAAGACAAATCACCATATTTTCTTGATGCTATCACCTTTTGTTTACTCTCAGACTCACCCTCTGAAGTTTTGTTACAACTCCTCTCTTTCACTATCATTCCAGAAAGCGTCATCCTCTGATTTGTTGAGTAAATTTGAAATGCAGTATTTCCTGAATGACTTTGCTATCAGCTCTCGAGGAATGCTTTTCCATGCATTTTGCTATGTGGGTATCAGTATCCACATAGCAAAACCAAAAGATTAAAATGCACATGACAGGAAAAAGTTTATTTTTATTGATTCAGAATGTTCATTCAGATTCATTAAAAATACCAATTTAACAAATATGAAATAACTACATTTATAATCATTGTTAAGTGACTAGCTATTTTTGGACTATCTGTTTGAAAGCAACATGCACCTTGACTTCGATAGCACCCTGCTATAATGGCAGCATGAACTATATGTGGTTCAGAAAAATTATTGCAAAAATGCAGAATCCTTTGCTCACCTGTATAAGATGATCTAAGTTTTTGAAGCAGTGAAAAATGAATAAAAACCTCATCTTATACACGAGTAAATACAGTAATTATTTCTTGTCTACAATAATTAAGTTTGCAAAATTTTTGAACACCAGTTTGCAATATAGTAGAAAGGGAATAAAAAAAAAATATTCCCTTTCTACTATATTGAATAAGAAAAAATGCCTCTCATGTTACTCTAACATTTATTCTATTTTTTATAAATTATCATCAAAACTAACATTTATTTATTCAGTTTGATGAGTTCAACATTAAATAAATTTAAAATTTTACAGAAAATATTTATGAAATGATACATTCTAGATTAAAATAATAATAAAAATTTTAGTTTCTAATTGCAACTGAAAACAAAGTTCAATGCCTCATATTCTAACTTTCTTGCCTCATATTAACAAATATGTAAATTAACTTAATTTTCCTACAAAAAGTTAGAATATCAGGCAAAGTTATAAGTAAATTTTCTTCTACTAATTTATTTAATAAAAATATTTTATTGTGTAGTTATATTGTGCTTCTATAAATTACATTGTTTATTTGTTTTTTTCTGTGTGTGATGTTATTTCACAACATATAAAACATTTTAATCATGTTAAAATAATTTCATAAAAACATTTTCTAATCTTATAAGTTAAAGAATTTTTAAATATATTCAGGGATAGTTCAATTAATTTATATAATTTATAAATTTATAAAAATAGTTTGCAAATGTTTCTATTTTATAGGAGAGCCTTGAAATTAAATGGCACATGTACAGGAGAACATGGAATTGGAATGGGGAAAATCTCTCTCTTAGAAAAAGAATATGGTGAAAATGGTATATCTGTCATGAAACAACTCAAGAAAAGCTTAGATCCAAAAAATATCATGAATCCCAAAAAAGTATTTTATGATTTTTAAATATAGAAACTAAAGGTAATTTCTTTAATTTCATAGTAAATTATTATTGTTGATGAATGTGAATAGTATGTATTTTATAAATACTAGGAACAATTATCTGAGTGTACTAGATATCATGCAAGCTAGTCATTTTAATCTCAGATGTTTTAAATAAATGTTATATTGTGATATATTCTATAAATAGTAAGTTTGATGTCTTGTTAAATAATAAATTAAATTATTGCTATGCAGATAAATGATGGTAAAAAATATTTAGATAATTATGACGTTGTGCATTTGTATACTAAATGTTAACATTGAATAGACAATGAAATAATTTTCTTGCCTCTGCATATAAAAGTACTATTGTTGCAATAAAAAACTTATAAGGCTATTGTTTGGGAAAATATTCCCATTTGAAATTATACTAAAAGTTAAGTTTGAAAACTGAGTTTGTTTTTATATATAATGTTATGCATGAAATGATATTTTTAATTTTCACTTTAATAGTTTAAGATTATCTGATTTTAAAGATATCTAACCTTGAATCTGATCTGATTAAATGTACTTGCTATCTTTTTCACAAGAAACAATCTTTAATATGGATATTTTTTTAAGCAATTTATGTGGAGAATAATATTTTTTTTATATATTTTTTCAAAATGCAATCAGAGATCCAAGGAGTGAATATATAATGAAATATATATGTTAAATTGATGTTTTATATTTATTAATTATATTTATATCTTATTCTATAGAAATTAATTAAGGAGGAATTAAATAATAAAAATAGTCAATTTCTGTAAAGTTAGAATTTATTGATTTTAAGTAAATACATTTATACACACACACAAAAAAATAATAATAAGAATAAATAATAATAGTATTTATTATTATGAGAAAGTTAGTATTTGACAAAACATTTTAAGCATGTTGAACTGTTCCTCCACTTACTTCGGAAAGTGGAATAGGAGCACTCCTTGATTTAAACCAATTATAATCTTCAATGGATGTTATAAGAAAAGCTACAAATCCCATTATTCCAAATATCTGAGAAGATGCAAATGTTAGTTTTTTTGATAGTTAAATTTTGGTAATTAATTAAATACTGTATACTTACACTTGCAAATATTCTTGCTGTTACACCATAATAGCAAGTATTTATTGACACTAACAAAAGAATAGATATGATGATACACTTTACAGTTAGTATCACATCACTGATGAGAAACTATTGATAAAACAGAAAACAAATTTCTATAAATTTACTAAATTTAAAACAAGTAATCATAAATTGCATTATTGGCATATTTAATTTTCTTTAATTTTATAGTGATTTGATTTGAACAATAAAATTTTGATTAACTTAAAGTTAATTAAAATTTTATTGTTTAAATCAAAGTTTAAAAATCAAATATTTTTTAAATTTATGGTTTGGAAAAAAAAATCACATATGTTAGAAAAAAGTAAATTATATTTTAAAAATCAAACTATAAACATAACAATATACTTACACTTAATGGTAAATTAATTCGCCCAATTAGATACTTATCTAGTTTAAAGAATATAAGGATGAAAAATATAATTAGTACGACTATGGCGCCGATGAATACAATTTCATAATAATTGTATTTTCCAACATCATAGTAACAATAATATCCACTTCTGACACTGATGATACCACATATTGCTATCACCTGAAAAGTATTTTGAAAAATATGTTATTTGCTGTTGACTTGAAATTTCTTTATAACAACATTTATAATTACTAACATTTTTAATTAGAGTTTTGTTTATATAAACAAAAACCAGTAACTAGTAAAAGGAGTATTCAGAAAGGGGAATTGATTGTACTCTTTATAACTTTGTACTGACAGTACTTTTCCGTCTGAGTACAAAGTACTTCCATAAAAAAAATGGTTTACATCAAAACAATTTTCCCAACCCAATAACTAGAATACATTCTTAATGGCTATGAGACTACATCCCACTACAAGGATTGACCACTACCAGCTGAAAAAGTCCTTAGTAAAAGAGCAAAGATGCAGTAGTATGTTATGCCCAGGTAAATTTGAATTAGGGGACCCTTGTACAGTGTTGACTTCAGACATTTTTTTTTGAGAAAATATTTTCTTATAAAAAACTGTTTGGGATCCCCTATTGGTGGGAGCCCCAGACAATTGACCTTTTTGCTCATAGGATAACGTGCCACTGCAAGGATGCATAGATCTACATTTTTCATGAGCATTACTTAGAAATATTTTCTTGACCAACAAAACATGAAAATGATATGGAAGAACAACATTGAGAGCCTGACTAGTTTGAATAACAATTAATTCCAATTAATGTTTTTTCTCTTTGAATGTCATTTGTTTTATTAAAGTAAGGGCCAACAGTGATTAAGAAGTTGTGTGTAATATAACAATAATTATAAATTTCTGTAAATCAATTGCAAATTCAAGAAAGCCAAAGCTCTATCTCTTAGTCGTGTGATTGGTTTTGGGCCCAATAATCGGGTAATAATAATAATAATAATAATATTATTACCCGATTATTGGGCCCAAAACCAATCACACGACTAAGAGATAGAGCTTTGGCTTTCTTGAATTTGCAATTGATTTACAGAAATTTATAATTATTGTTATATTACACACAACTTCTTAATCACTGTTGGCCCTTACTTTAATAAAACAAATGACATTCAAAGAGAAAAAACATTAATTGGAATTAATTGTTATTCAAACTAGTCAGGCTCTCAATGTTGTTCTTCCATATCATTTTCATGTTTTGTTGGTCAAGAAAATATTTCTAAGTAATGCTCATGAAAAATGTAGATCTATGCATCCTTGCAGTGGCACGTTATCCTATGAGCAAAAAGGTCAATTGTCTGGGGCTCCCACCAATAGGGGATCCCAAACAGTTTTTTATAAGAAAATATTTTCTCAAAAAAAAATGTCTGAAGTCAACACTGTACAAGGGTCCCCTAATTCAAATTTACCTGGGCATAACATACTACTGCATCTTTGCTCTTTTACTAAGGACTTTTTCAGCTGGTAGTGGTCAATCCTTGTAGTGGGATGTAGTCTCATAGCCATTAAGAATGTATTCTAGTTATTGGGTTGGGAAAATTGTTTTGATGTAAACCATTTTTTTTATGGAAGTACTTTGTACTCAGACGGAAAAGTACTGTCAGTACAAAGTTATAAAGAGTACAATCAATTCCCCTTTCTGAATACTCCTTTTACTAGTTACTGGTTTTTGTTTATATAAACAAAACTCTAATTAAAAATGTTAGTAATTATAAATGTTGTTATAAAGAAATTTCAAGTCAACAGCAAATAACATATTTTTCAAAATACTTTTCAGGTGATAGCAATATGTGGTATCATCAGTGTCAGAAGTGGATATTATTGTTACTATGATGTTGGAAAATACAATTATTATGAAATTGTATTCATCGGCGCCATAGTCGTACTAATTATATTTTTCATCCTTATATTCTTTAAACTAGATAAGTATCTAATTGGGCGAATTAATTTACCATTAAGTGTAAGTATATTGTTATGTTTATAGTTTGATTTTTAAAATATAATTTACTTTTTTCTAACATATGTGATTTTTTTTTCCAAACCATAAATTTAAAAAATATTTGATTTTTAAACTTTGATTTAAACAATAAAATTTTAATTAACTTTAAGTTAATCAAAATTTTATTGTTCAAATCAAATCACTATAAAATTAAAGAAAATTAAATATGCCAATAATGCAATTTATGATTACTTGTTTTAAATTTAGTAAATTTATAGAAATTTGTTTTCTGTTTTATCAATAGTTTCTCATCAGTGATGTGATACTAACTGTAAAGTGTATCATCATATCTATTCTTTTGTTAGTGTCAATAAATACTTGCTATTATGGTGTAACAGCAAGAATATTTGCAAGTGTAAGTATATAGTATTTAATTAATTACCAAAATTTAACTATCAAAAAAACTAACATTTGCATCTTCTCAGATATTTGGAATAATGGGATTTGTAGCTTTTCTTATAACATCCATTGAAGATTATAATTGGTTTAAATCAAGGAGTGCTCCTATTCCACTTTCCGAAGTAAGTGGAGGAACAGTTCAACATGCTTAAAATGTTTTGTCAAATACTAACTTTCTCATAATAATAAATACTATTATTATTTATTCTTATTATTATTTTTTTGTGTGTGTGTATAAATGTATTTACTTAAAATCAATAAATTCTAACTTTACAGAAATTGACTATTTTTATTATTTAATTCCTCCTTAATTAATTTCTATAGAATAAGATATAAATATAATTAATAAATATAAAACATCAATTTAACATATATATTTCATTATATATTCACTCCTTGGATCTCTGATTGCATTTTGAAAAAATATATAAAAAAAATATTATTCTCCACATAAATTGCTTAAAAAAATATCCATATTAAAGATTGTTTCTTGTGAAAAAGATAGCAAGTACATTTAATCAGATCAGATTCAAGGTTAGATATCTTTAAAATCAGATAATCTTAAACTATTAAAGTGAAAATTAAAAATATCATTTCATGCATAACATTATATATAAAAACAAACTCAGTTTTCAAACTTAACTTTTAGTATAATTTCAAATGGGAATATTTTCCCAAACAATAGCCTTATAAGTTTTTTATTGCAACAATAGTACTTTTATATGCAGAGGCAAGAAAATTATTTCATTGTCTATTCAATGTTAACATTTAGTATACAAATGCACAACGTCATAATTATCTAAATATTTTTTACCATCATTTATCTGCATAGCAATAATTTAATTTATTATTTAACAAGACATCAAACTTACTATTTATAGAATATATCACAATATAACATTTATTTAAAACATCTGAGATTAAAATGACTAGCTTGCATGATATCTAGTACACTCAGATAATTGTTCCTAGTATTTATAAAATACATACTATTCACATTCATCAANTTTAAGTTACAAAACTTTATAATTCAATAAAAATTGTATTTATCTAAAAAATTTATAACTTGAGTGAAGTTTACAGCTGGTCAATGATAATTAAACAAAAATACATTTATTTTCAGTGGCGCGTTATACTATGGGCAAAAAGGGCACTTTCCTTGGGCCCAAAACCAATCTTCGATATTCTTATTACTGTAATAAGAATATCGAAGTTTAAATTTGGCATCATATCTGGAAACCCTAGATAGCGAGTGTGGCGCATGCGCAGTGAAAAACTTATCCATCATGAGGTTGCGTTAAAAAACGAACGAGGATCCCATCAAAAATTCCTCTGAAGACAAATGTCTTAAGTCAGTACTACATGGGGGCTCCCTAATCAAATTTGTTTGGATCCTATGGAGCTATATGCGCCACCTTCTATTTGAGTTTTCTTTAAATTTAACTAAAATGCATTAAAATAAGTATATGGACCTTATATTTAATCATTATTACAGTAGAACTCCGGTTATCCGACCGCCAATTATCTGAAACAGCACTTGCGCTTCTTCCTTTCTCCCTCTGACGTTGCACCTCAATTCTCTATTTACTATGACGTATACAAACGATCAATAGTATGCTACTCGCACATTGGTGGATAAATACAGTACACATATTATACCATGCTAATTTCATTCTTTACATGTTAATTTAATCCATTTATTTGAATTTGATTCAGATAATCGAAAATTCTACTGAACTATGATTCTACTTATGATGAACCAGAAGGTATGCAATTAGGCCAGGAACACACATGCGTAAAATTCGGCTTAAAATCTAGCATAAAACAGAAAACGTAAAAATTTTTCTGAAATTTTGGCTGAAACAGAACTGAAAATAGAGTAGAGCATTTCTCTACTTTTTACGTCAAAATTCCTCCAATAAAGGAAAGTCTTTTCTGTGACGTCAAAGTAGACATATAGTTTTTATTCTAACAATGGCGGCAATGAGGGTTAACCTACAATTGTGACGGTCTCGAAAAAACGAAAAATAAATGAAATAGAGGAGTTTATTGAATCCGTTCGACCACATCAGTGTCATGTATAAAGACACTGTATTTAAACAACGTTTATGGATGGCTATAGGTGCAAAATTACAAACAACAGATAGGTCTAGTAGAATCGATATATAGGCCTAGTACAGTAGACCCCCTATAACGCGGGTTCCTATAACGTAGATTCCTATAACGCGGCGAAAAAATTGCGACAGTATTCGTATAAAGACGCTAAAAGGGACGCGTAAAATGCGGTAAAACGTCATCACCAACTCGTCATCGCGGACGAGCAGCCGAACTACTTTCCGCCGTCCAGCGCCACGCTACGGAGAGTTTAGGCGGGTAAGTTGAGTTTACTATTGTCTGTACAGTATGTAAATTAGGTACCGTAAGTCTAATACAGCACTGTAATTTTATACATTTCTTGTGAAAGAAACATTTCTTATTCAACGGCCATAAAAATTATTTCTATTAATGATGTCTCCAAAGTTCAACGAATTTTTCGCAGAAAAATAACATCAGAAATTGCGGCCGCCGTTTGGTGCGATGCTCCGCGACGAACACAAGCTTAAGCAATGGCGACGTCGAACGGTGCACACTCGGTAAGTAATCCTACAATTTTTTGTTTATAGCATAGTTTATACGGATTATTCCCAAAAAATTATACGTATTTTGGAAATGTTAAGTCGAATTAGTCTAGAATCGATTAATTTTATGGAAGAAAACCTTTCAAACAGCTGTAGTCCGTAAACTTCACGCGTGTCGGGCTGCGATTGGCTCATGTATTTAAGGATTCCTACAACGCGAAATTCGTATAACGAGGAACGTATCTACCGCATCATAGGGGGATCTACTGTATTTAGATCACATGTTCTTTATTTGAATTCGGAATACAAGTCTATTAATTTAAATTTTCTATTATAATATAGAAAATTTGTGGAGGAAGTGGAGAAAAAATGGAAGGTACAGTACAAAGGGATAGATAGCCTATATGAGAGGAAAAAATAAATAAAATTAGCACTGTTGAATCCAGTTGGTGGAAATGTTGGTGGCAGTGGTGTTTCCTATTCGGCCAGAATTTTTACGTATGTGTGTTCTGGCATAAAAGCGTAAAACAGAAACTGACCTGAAAGCTGATTTCTGATTCAGTTTTCTGCCACACAATTTTACGCATGTGTGTTCCTGGCCTTAGTGTGTCCGAAAAGTTGTGTGTAATGACATTAAAGTCATATGTACAGTAATGTATACAATTTGCAAATCCCATATGCAATACGTACAATATTGTATATGGGTCCTGCAATTTCGCAAAATGAAAAAAGAGATTAGGAACTTATTTATTGTGATTTAATTTCGAATTTAATATATGTTTCGAAATACAGTATGTAGAATATCAAGTGTAGCGTCTATTGTATTGTTTAAGGATTCCATTCCTGTATGAATCATCGACTTCAATATATTTCTTGCCCTTGAAAAGATAAAGTTGGCCCATTATTTGACGAAGCTTGAAAAGTATTGTATATAACACTAAAATGTGTATAAATATTTCCAAAAATATCTGGTACTTAACCGTCCATGAAAATTTGTTGGGGTTACTAGCATGGGTTGGATCCTAGTTCCTTCAGAACACTAGATTGACGTTTTAAAGTGTCTCGGCCGTCACATGTGGCTATGAAAAGTGACTTATCTGTATAAAAACACAATAGGGAACGTGTAATAGTATCCTATTCCTAAGTGTTCAACATTTCGTTGTCCAAGATAAAATTGAAAACTCCCTGAATATGGCAGATATTGTGATTGGTTTATGGTTTTGTTTGCGTCAACGCGACACGTGGACGATTTGCGGAGGAGTGTGCTTCCAGGAAGGACTTTCTATAAGAAACTGTTCCTTATTTCAGTGTTACTAACTCGAAGAAAAGCCTGAAAACTTCACGTGACCAATACATTGGTGGAAAACCAGAGCTATATTCCAGTATTCCCATCATATCCCCCTGGTTAAACGAGTTTCGTTTTTAAATTATGTAATTATCTTCTCAAAAAGTGTGCTGGCAGATGTACAATCAGTGCCATTTTTAGAACGTAAGGGGCCCTGGGCCAAGACCATGATGGGGCTCCCTTAATGAAACAGAAACAATAGTAGAGGAGAAGGTGGTATTATGGAACCCCATTTTCATTATTGTGAATTGTAAACAAGGTATCATAACTACACCCACATTTTTTGTGCGAAAAGTACTGGTAACTGTTATACTAGCGAAAAATCCAATTAGGAACATCTAGTTTAACTATAAAGTATGGTTTTTGAAGGCTTCTGTACAAAAAGTCAGAAAGTAGGCTTAGGGAAAACCGGGTGGTAATATTGAAGCTTACTGTATGTTTTCAAAAAATGTTTTAATGTATCCAAAAACAAATAGGAAAGTATAAAGAATGTTAAATAATTACAAAATTATTTACTCCAATGTATTTTATTGCAAAAATGATTTAATAATAATAATAATAAAGAAATGTACAAAGAAGAAGCTAATCATTTACAAAAATCACAAATATAATGCTCCTATAGTGTTAGATATCTGTTTTTACTTTTTTCATTTTCCTTCTACTGTTTCATTCATCTACCGCATATTTTTACAAAAGTTAGACGGGTTCCTTATTAAAAGCACCAACGGGGTCCGTATTTCATGCATTGCCATTTTGGGTTAACTTATGTCTGTCAAGACCAAATTTTAAAAAAAACGTGATCATCATATAGATTAATATGTACCCCTAAGTCTCTGGAACGGAATACACGCACCAGTGAACCTACAACTACACGATTTATATTTTAGAAATAATTAAATTCACTTAGTATTCAAAACTTCCGAATTTCGAAAAACACAAATATACTAAATCACTACGGACAACCGTTTAACTTAAGTGAAACGGGTTATCCCCTTGCAATGGATATCTGGCTTAGTTCAGTTCAGGCACAATCCGCTACAGTTCGCCTTTATTATTAGTTTGAAATGGATGGGTTCCATAATATCACCTTTTCCTCTATATTAGACCTACGGATGCATTATTTGTTTCCTCCCTTGGAGTATATACGATTTTTCACCTCCCTTGGCCAGAAAGTGAAATTTTCTTCCCACGCAGCAGGAAGAAAGTACCATTTTCAGCCGAGGTGTGGTGAATAAGAAGTATCAAAAATTTTATAAGTTTGCTTAGTTTTAAGATCATTTTAAACTACGTATAGGAGAAATAAAGTATTTGATATTTTTAATAATTTATTTATTTTAATTTACCTATTTTTTATTTGTAACTTTATTACTTTCAGATTAGAGGCCTCCTATGGCCTGGGGCCCTGTCCTAAAGACGACACTGATTTCCAGAGATTTCCATGTTAAAATTTCCATGTTAAAATTGTACAGTACAATTTTAACATGGAAATCTCTCTATTTACAAGAAATGTATATTCACATGCTGTATGTTCTTCTGAGACAGATGAATTCATATAACATTCAAATGATGCATCACTGAACACTGGAAGTATTCAGTGGTGTACCAGAAGTTCTAGAGTAAGTACTTTCTCCAATGAGTAATCGAAACACTGGTAGGGGGAGGGCTTTTATGGAAAACTGGTTCCTATTTAGGTGTAACAAATGTGAAGAAAATCCGGAAAACTTTTCCAGGAAAGCCTGTTGGCGAGGCGCGAACCCACGACCAGTATTCAATGGTTTTATCCACTCGGGTCACTGGTGGGCTATCCCTAGTCGCACTTGATAAAAATCTTGTGTATAACATCTCTTACTGTGAATGACCGATATCTGGCGAATGTCAGCATTCACACAGTCGTTTCGTGTATGTACGAAATATTTGCTAAATATCATTATTTCTTACTTACACCGGCAAATGTCGACATTTATCATGCACTGATGGTGAATGTTGAATAAAAATATTTTTATTACGTTAAGACTAAAATGCAACTTTTTAATATGTCAGAATAGGAGAAAGCTTAATTAATTAACTAAGTAACAGCACATGTAAATAAATTGTTGAACCTAAAACGAACAGTACATTCTTAATCGGAAAAGAAAAATAATACACAATAGTAAACTTACACATATATTATGTGATCAACTTTATACAATCTTATTGCAACAACTTAAACTGTTATGACACTTTGAATGTCACAAGAGTACCTCGCTTTTACAACTGCATTTATTCGTGGAACACTTTTTTTTGCAATGACAGCGTGTATAGCCTTGCCCTCCACTTTTTGAATTATCTGCAGCTGCTTCCCTCAGCGATATTTCTTGAGAAGAAATCTCATCTATAGAAAGTAACTTTTTTTTTTTTTTTTTTTTTACAAATTACGAACTGATTACGGGTATAAAGCTGCTTGAGGGTACCATTTTTGTTTACTAATTTATAAAAGTCGGAGTCTTTTATTCCAACAACAACCGCCAACACATTTCAGGCATCTGTCTGGGCAAGGTCGACATCAGGGACTTCGTACTGTATCACCAATTTGAGTAGAAGAAAACAGTGAAGAATTTGGCGACAGACTATCGCCTCTCTATCGACATCGGCTTCTCGGGTGTCGTTTCGACCTCCACCAAGGCTTATCTGTGCTTGTCGACATACACCAGCGATTGTTCGAATGTATAATAATATAACCAAATATTCGGTCTTTCACCAACATATTTTGTGTGTGTCGACATTCTCTAAATTCGGTCTTTCACAGTAACAAAAAATATACAGTATAAGAAACCTATGGAATTTACATTCGTATAGTTTCTCTATTAGACTACTGTGGATGCGAATTCTGACGAGTTCGTCCGAACAAACAAATACCTGTTTTCCAATGAGAGTGTTTACTTTGGCAGCGAAGGGCATGTCAGAACACGCACGATGTAGTCAGAACCATTCGAGCGTTCAAACGAGTTTGATTTTTTCGTGCGTTCTGACGTTGAATTTCGAGTGTTTTGGTTTTTTCAACGTGGATATTGATAAATTGATTAGTCTTGTGTTCGAGAATAGGTGTTTGTGGGACATGAAAGACAAAAACTATCACAACAGAGATATTTCTCGGCAGAGATAGCTCTCATTCTGAAATACTCGAAAGACTTTTGCGGGTTGTTCCACAAATCTTGATATAACATTTGGAACTCTCTCTCATCGTCTCTTGTGGAAAATGCTCTGTTTTCTCACCACCTATCAACAATAACTTGGATGAGTTTTATTTTCTTGAAAGTCCGTTGATTAAGTTATTGTTGATAGGTGGTGAGAAAACAGAGCATGTTAACCACTTATTTTCCACAAGAGACGATAAGGGAGAGTTCCAAATGTTATATCAAGATTTGTGGAACAACCCGCAAAAGTCTTTCGAGTATTTCAGAATGAGAGCTATCTCTGCCGAGAAATATCTCTGTTGTGATAGTTTTTGTCTTTCATGTCCCACAAACACCTATTCTCGAACACAAGACTAATCAATTTATCAATATCCACGTTGAAAAAACCAAAACACTCGAAATTCAACGTCAGAACGCACGAAAAAATCAAACTCGTTTGAACGCTCGAATGGTTCTGACTACATCGTGCGTGTTCTGACATGCCCTTCGCTGCCAAAGTAAACACTCTCATTGGAAAACAGGTATTTGTTTGTTCGGACGAACTCGTCAGAAGAAGATTTCGTCAGAATTCGCATCCTCAGTAACCGTAGCCTTATAGAGCTAGTGGAAGGAACGGCGAAACTAAATCGAGGCGCCTCTAGCGGCGATGCGGGGAAATAAAATCGGGGCTACAAAGGTGGCATGTGCTTCTCCTTTTCGGGGCGTACGAATAATATTTCTTAGAAGGCAGTGTGGTTTTGAAGCAATATCTACCGAAACCCTGAGAAAAATTAATTTAAAGAAAGGAGAGAAACTGCTTTTTACAATAAATATTAGTTTGGGTACCCACATCATTACATAACTTTTCACAAAATAAGACTGCCATATTATCTGTACTATTAAGTGGTTCCCTACATTTTGTGTAGAGGTTTGTGTTCCAGTGTCATGTTTGGTGATCATAGGTATGGTTTCGGTGTCCACATCCATGCTATCCATGTTATCCATGCTATCCACCTTCTTTATTTCTTGCCTGCCTTAAAAACCTATCAGCATTTCCACAACCCTGTTTCTTGTAGCATGTTGGAAAAAGCGTGGGAACATATGTTGGATGGTCTGGGTGGTCAATTTTCCGTCCACCTACAAAATGCTGACTGCAAACTTTGCTGGTAATTTGTGGGTTGCCAAGGTTTGCCATCTTTTCTGAAAAAATGTTTTTAATTTTTCATATTATATTACAATTATCAAGCAACTTTGGTCACTTTTTGACTAATGAATTATTTGAAATGATCTTTAATACTGGTTAATAATGACATCATTAAGCATTTTTTAAATTTTGTTAATTATTATCAGGATTTTAGATTTACAGAAATACGAAATGTTTTGGTATTTTTAACGCGTTATTACTCAATGCACTACGTAAACAATGGGTAGTAATATAAAGTGGACTACACCTATTTACCACTAAAAAAAAGGCACCCTAGCCATTTATAGAGATCATTACAATACAATGCCTTTAAATGTCACAGTTATATATACACACACAACTTTAAAAAAATACCTTTAATGAAAATACCCAAGCATAATACTTACTCAATCCACCGAATTGCAGCCAGCCATTTCTCTTTCCTTCCAGGGTATTTTTCATTCGGAAACGAATAAAACTTTGTACCTGGCGGCGCAGTAATATACGTAACACTACAACCGATCACACAACAGGTATTTTTTGAAGTTTTGTGTGGCAGAAAGTTGTGGTTCATTATACAGAAAGAAAACAAACACAGTGTTTCACTATGTATCTAACCCAAAGACGCACGTGTTTTCCCGAAAAAGTTTTCTTTGCCTGCCTAAAGGTGGCGCTCAACTCAGTTCCACTAGCTCTATAGTAAATTTTGCTAACTTTTTACAGACGCGAATACAGTAAAACTTGTCCAAAACGGAACCCGAATATAAAGGGAACCTGCCTGAACGGAAAAAATTCTTCTAAACAGAGCGAAGTTAAAAAAAGAAAAACTGTTCAAAACGGAAACCTGCAAACGGGAAAAATATTCGGAATCGTGCGATTCCGGTTTATACAGGTTTTACAGTATTTACACTCATGCCAACTTTTTCATGTCCCTTCTCAAGCATAAAGTAACGAAACCTATTTAAAACGAACAGACTAGTTTTATATGGTTAATTTATTTTTCATTGATTATCGAATATAATGTCAAAAAATTAACATTAAAAAACATATCTCTATCACATGCTTATAAAAAATGAAATGGCCATTATTTTGCTTTCTTACTAATATACTTACTTACAGAATAAATTTTAACTAAAATTAAATTAAATTTAGTTTGATAACACAGAATAGTTCGATTACAGTGCGGGAGCGAGTGCATTTTATACATTGAAACCTCTCTAAAGCGACCACCTTTCATAAAGATAACTGGTGGCCTCAAAGTAGAAGTTTTACTGTTTTTTTTTTTTAATTTTAAAGCAATAACGAATCTATTATAAAAAATCAGCCATCGTATTACCTGTACTTTCATTTTAGGATATTGCACAAGATACAGATAATAGGCTACTTTACGATCATGTTCGGAAGTTTTGTCAGTTTTTTGTCTTTAAGCAAAATGTTTTGATAAAGTTTTAATTAAAATATAAAGTTAAACTCTAAAATTAGACCGATAAATTATAAACAAATAAAACCTTTTCGTTTGATTATCTTTTTTACAGGAGGAGGAGAAGTGAAATTTGTACCAATGAAAATATACCAATTTAATTAAACAAAGGACCATTTCATAATGGTTGAGGGTATCTAAAAAAACTTTTATAATTTTTTATACTAATTTAAGTGCTAACATAATTAAGAAATACAATAAAAGTATCACTTACAAATTGAGCAATTCTCAGTATTCCGTATCGAGTTTTTATAAATGCAGTGTTAAACTTGCTTTCTGCTTGTGTTTTCGTATCCGTTTGTGACATTTTTTCGTACAGACCACGTAATTTTCCTTACGTTTAACCTTAAAAATTATGAAACTCCAATGGATGAGAATTGTACTCTGTGGAAAAGTGAATCAAACCAGTTATTTTTTCTTTCTTTTCCCTTTGAAGGAGGCTCTCTCTCGTTTCTGTACAAGTGTCTAACCGGTTTGAATAGAGTTAAACCGGATGTACTGTACGCAACTCTATTAAATGAATTCCTATTGGTTTAATTTTTGTTTACATTTCCCTTCATTTATCAAACTGCTAAAACAACTGCTTTAGGAAATATATTCTGTCTAAATAATTAGTAATAATGATTAAACTAATTACTATTTTATGCATTGTATTTAGTTTTACTTTTCCGCTCTTTATTTTATTAAATAAGAGGGAAAGTATGGCAATCGGTCTATCAAAGATTTTTACATTTTGACTCGGACTTTAAACGTCGAGAGACGAAAAAAAATTGCGGGTTTTTTCTGTATGTATTGATATTAGCGATTAATATCCATGCATACAGAAAAAATCCGCGAATTATTTTGCATTTTTAACACCCCCAAACACTAACTGTTAGTGTGTGGGGACAGATTTTGTAGTAGGACCGGACTTAATGACGATTTTATGCTATTAGCATTTACAATTTAAAAAAAACTCATTTCTATCCTCAAAATTAAGCTTTTTGTCATTTTATAATAATTAAAAATATAAAAAGTTTTAAAATAAATGATCAAACAGATGGCGCTAAACACAGTTTTAGATGTTACTAGGAAAGTTAAGCAACTCATTGCTGGATTTTTCCTAGGGTGTGAAAATATTCAAGCCAAATTTGGGGAGGATACGTTGAACGGTATAGAACCCTTTATCTAACAAACAAACAAATATATTTTGATATATATATATTTATATATATATATATATATAGAATTAGTTATAAATGTAATGTTTAATTATTTATAAGTAATTGCAATTTAAAAATAAATTATTTTTGAATTAATTACAAGTTTTTGTTTAATTAATGATAACTTTTACTTTTCCAAAACACTTCAATTCCCATTTTTTTTATTTATATTAATAATAATACTAACCAAACAAGCATTTATGTTAAATATACTTGCGAGCACTACGTTGGCCTCTTTATTCCTAGACTTATTACACCGTCAGTGGACACACGATCAGCCGTAGAAAATCAATTTATTTTCCCAAAAAGTATGCATTTCGGACCTAAAGTCCCCCATCAACTTTTTTACAATATTTAAGAAATAAAACATGTAAATTAAACAGTATTAACATTAAAAAATTTAGGTTGTAATATAACTTACATATATGAAATTGACTCATCCACATCTGCGAAATGCACACTAAAGTATCAACATTCGGTAAAACACCGAGAACAGATCAAAATATTACGTATATACTATAATATTAACAGGATGTTAATAATTTAAGTACACAAATTACATAAAAAGTATAACTATGAACTTATATTAAACGTACTGATACGATATTTAGAGCAATATAATTAAATTAAACAGTACACAACGTTACGAGCCGGTCAACTGTTATAATTAATACGAAATAAAAGACAGATTTAAAATAATAAAATGATTTACTGTACTGTACATTTAGTAATTACCTTTATTTTTCTCCCTTTATTTATACACTCCCCTTCCCCCGCGCCCCTTTGTCAAATATGCGTACCACGATTCATGCAATTTTTAGCCGGAATTATTATTCATGATTTTTTCGTGATTTTTATTATTTCTAAATGCTCGTGGTTTTTTTTATTAAGTTAATGCATTTTACAATATATATAGTATTAAAATTTAATACTAATTNTGGGTTAATAAAAAATCAATTTATTATAGATAATTTAACAAATATAAATTATTATTAAAAAATGGGGGTTACAAAAAATTATGAAATATTTGGAGGGCCGCGCGTATAAAAAGGTTAGGACCCACTATATTAGGGGATTGATGCTATTATATTTTTATGGTTAAAGATCGAGCGGTTCGGAGAGGTAAAGGAGGTCGTGTGTTGTATTTCCAGTAGGGTCGGACTTAATGACGATTTTACTCGTTATTAGCATTTATAAGTTTTATAAAACTCATCCCCTTCTTCAAAATTAATCTTTTTGTTATAATAATTAAAAACAGTGTATAAAAACTGTTTTCAAATAAAACGTCATAACACGCAGTTTTAAATCTTGCCGGGAATGTTAAGCAACTTGTTGCCAGACCCTTTTTTTTTGTATGTATAAATGTTAGTAAAATTTGTAAGCCATTTTGTTGTTGTTATTATTTAATAAATTCGTCGAATGTATTTCAGGTAAAATAAAACAAATATTGTTATTTCAAAAATAACCTGGTAGATAGAAATGAAAACAAATACAGTTGAACCTCCAACAACGACCATCTCTAAACAGCGGCCATTTTTAGAAACATTTTTAATTAAACAGAAATTTATACAAAATTACTTTCAAACAACGACCATATTTTCAATGTTCCTCTCAGTCGCCGTTATTTAGAGGTTCGACAGTGACGTGTTATAGGTTCTTGGGGCCCAGGCGAATTTGAATTAATGTTGACTTAAGACATTTTTCTTCGAGAAATTTTTAAGAAAATACATTCTTATAAAAGATTGGATTTGGAGTCCCCTGTTGCTGGGGCTCCAGGCAATTTTCCTTTTTGCTCATAGAATAACACGCCTCAGGTTTGTACTGTACTTCATAAAAAACGCATTGCCACTTGAAACTTTTATCCGATATTGTAATTAAGTTTTTGATTTCTCTGTTCTGGATCACACTTTAAAATACTTATAAACACATATAAGATTTGTATAAAATTTAAATGATTAAAACATAAAATAGAAAAAGTATTTATAGTTTAATTGTTATAAAATTTTCTTTTCTTTGGCAAACGAAAAAACTATAAGCTAATACTGTGGATGTACGCAGAAAATTTTTCAGGGGGAAACCTTGTAGATAAATAATTACACCAATAAATTTTTATATATTTAAATTTTGGGGATTTACAAGTAGATTATAGAACATAGTATTGCATAAATACGAAAAGACAGAGAAAATGTCCAATCGAGCTTATAAGGTTACGTTTCTCAATCACTTTTACGATTATAATTCTTGGAATTTTTTACTCGATTTCAGAGGGAAAGTGCCCCGTTTGTCCCCCTTTACGGACTCCCATGGATAATACTAATAATTAGCGAAAAAAATCTGTAAATGATCCTAATGTCTACGAATCGCGAAGATAATCTTGACTTAATTGGCAACGGAACGCATGGGAAGTGTGAGAAGTGGTTGCCTTCCGGGTAGATTTCCTATGAAATATTAATTCTTAGGTGAAAAACTCCGGAAAGTCCATGTGTTCAGCCCTTTGTTGAGGCACGAACCCGCTACTAATTATCAATGTTTTATTCATTCGATGGTCTCATCTCTAGATATCAACTTGATGAAATAAAAATCTTGTAAGGTTGTAAATATGTTGCTTCCTCAATTTTATTTTAAAAAATTATTATATTTTAAAATTTTAATAACTATTTTTTTTGTTAACCCCTNACGAAAGATTTAAAAATATTGGTAAAAACGTGCTAAGACACCTCAGACCGTCTAAGAGTGAAAATAAAATTTTTAAAATCTATATTATATTTTGTCTTGATGATGTAATTGTTTGGAGCTGATGTAATTGTTTGGAGTTACTTAAAATTACAAGGAAACTTCAATGAGTAAATGAGCAACGAAAATATTTTTAAAATTTAATTTACTTGAATATAAAATGCCAAAAATAGCGACATTATGGACAGGCATGTTGCATTTACAGATTCTGGAATATTTTCCAGTGAAATGGGATAAAGTTTTTCGGCGTAAATTGCGGGAAAATATTGTTTTATAAATTATTTTCTCGCAAATTACAAACGATACTGCTAAACGAAGAGAACTGTACAAGGAAATTATACTAAATTATACTTGTTTCTTGAAAGTATTGCATATATAGAAGTAATGAGCTTTTCATTTATTTGTTATATAACAGAGTATGGCAATCGGCCAAAAAATTACCTTCAAGATTTTTACATTTTTGGACTCGGGACCTTGAAACGTCGACAAATGCAAAAAGTTCGCGGGTCTTTTCTGTGTGTATGGATGTTTGTGTATGTGTGTGGGATTTTGTTCACCTTCTTTGAAGCTTAAATAACTCCTGTGCTTTTTTGTCGAAAATTTCTGAAATTTTGCAGGAAGGTTTGTGTATTAAGGCAGTGTTTCTTAACAGGGGGGGGGGCCCATAAGAAGTTTACGCGGGGCCGCCAAATTATGCAAAATTTCCTTCAGAATATAATAAAAAGAAAATTGATGTATAACCGAATATCGTATTGAAAAGTGAAATAAGAAAGATAAAGTTTTCATATTTATTTATTTATTATTTCTTCCTACATACAACTTGTTAGTACAGAAGAAATAAATGCAAATATGCTAGTTACACCACAGTATTTACTTCTTTTCTTTTAAAGTAATTCTAAGAAACTATTAATGCTNGATGTATAACCGAATATCGTATTGAAAAGTGAAATAAGAAAGATAAAGTTTTCATATTTATTTATTTATTATTTCTTCCTACATACAACTTGTTAGTACAGAAGAAATAAATGCAAATATGCTAGTTACACCACAGTATTTACTTCTTTTCTTTTAAAGTAATTCTAAGAAACTATTAATGCTTGGAATTTTAAAAATAATTAGGAAAAATAGTAGGCTTAGTAGTAGACTTTGAAAATTTAAATGTTTTTGCAAAAGATATGCAAAATCTTTACAAGTTGTTGGTGTTTTAGTTTTAGCATCGACTTTGGATCAAATAATAGTGCATTTCTTTCTTATATTCATGGGCGTAGCCAGAGTTTTGTTATGGGGGGGCCTAGTGGAGGCCAACCTGACACAAAATTGAATTATTTCGAATTATTGTTCATTATTGGGCACCGAGCAAGCCGTTCACCTTTTTTTAGTACTGTGGTACCTCAGGTTACGAACGCCCCAGCATACGAAATTTTCAGGATACGACATGAAATTCGAACATATTTTTGCTCCACGATACGAACAAAAACTCACCATACGACGTTACATTAGTTCGCATTTTTCATTTGTTTTTCTTACTACAGTTATTTTTTT